GAGGCGGATTCCCCCGCGCTCCCGGCTCAGCATGATGGTGTTTCTGGAGATGACACGGGGTCTTCTCACAGCAACCCCTTGACAATGGCTAAACAAACATGAGCAACGTTTCCCATGCTATAACCAGTATTTCCCAGTGCTTCTTTCACCAGATATTGGCACTCAGATGCTGCCACTTCTCTTTCCCCTTCAGATCTGCTGTCGGAACTCAAGCCAGAGGGCTAAAGGTGCTTTTCCTCCCAGCCATCATCCCCCACTGCCTCTGGCATCAGGGGAGTCAGCCCATGCTACTTTCATGAGTATTTGGGCTGCAACACCTAATTTTCCACTAACAGGGCTTAAGAAACACAGGTTGTACATCCAGACTGAGAGCTGATCCACAAGGAAGATTATGCATTAAGGCTGGAAGATGAGCAGTGCATACCCTGCCCCAAAATGATGCCAGAAAAACAGAGTGTAGTAGGGTTAGATTGGGTATTCCAGGCCTGGGATTGTCATTTCCTCTAATTTCTTTAGTGCAGGAGATCTGTGTCCTGCTTCCCCAGCCCCAAGCAGGACAGACCTGGAGAATCACTGCTGCTCTCATGGTGAATTCAGACCCGAGGTCACCCCAAACCCCCAGACTGGGCACAGGGGTGTAAATCCAAATTTCTTATTTGGGGAGAGTGACTTCTTACACAGGCAGATGGTGATAGGACAAGGGGAAGACGTTTAAAACTAAAGGAGGGGAGATGAGATTAGAAAATGGGAAGAAATTCCTGCCTGTGAGGGTGGTGAGGCCTTGGCACAGGTTGCCCAGAGAAGCTGTGGCTGCCCCATCCCTGGAAGTGTTCAAGGCCAGGTTGGACGGGGCTTGGAGCAACCTGGGCTAGTGGAAGGTGTCCCTGCCCATGGCAGGGGGTTGGAATAAGTTGGGCTTTGAGGTCCCTTCCAACCCAAACCATTCTGGGACTCTGATTTTTAACATCTGCCTCATCCAGTCTGGAAATACAAACCCACACAGGTTTATATTATTTACTTTTCATTTTTAATTTTCTTATATTTCTTTTTGCTTGTTTGTTTTTGTCAGGGCTTTTTGTACAGCTCCACTTCACCACCCAATGTAAGGAAATCATTAGCATCCCAGTGGCCAATTCCCACACTGTGTTTAGGAACAAATGGAAGGGATGTTGTGTTTAATTATCTCAGCCTGCTTACCATGATATTTTCACTAATATTTGGGTTTAATGAGCTAGGAAATCTGGGCCATTGTGTGCTGGTGGATATACTCATCCTTTCTCCAGCTAAATATGTTATCAGATAGCTTTGACGGGGATGAGCAACGGCTTCCTTTGAACTCAGGAATCGTCAAGATTCTCTAATTTGCTTAGACCACCTGCTTGGCTAATGTTACCACAGGGCTCTTGTTTTCTCTCTGAAATGGTAAACAGAAATGTAGAGGATGCCTAAATGTTGCTGTTCCAGCTCTGGAGAAGAGGAGGCTGAGGGGAGACCTCATGGAGGGTGCAGCTTCCTCTCAAGGGGAAGCAGAGGGGCAGCACCGATCCCTGCTCTCTGTGACCAGTGACAGGACCTGAGGAAACCACTGGAGTGGTGCCAGGGGAGGTTTAAGCTGGATATTAGGAAAAGGTTCTTCCCCCAGAGGGTGGTTGGGCACTGAACAGGCTCCCCAGGGCAGTGGGCATGGCCCCAAGGCTGACAGAGCTCAAGGAGTGTTTGGACAACGCTCTCAGGGACAGGGTGGGATTGTTGGTGTGTCCTGGGCAGGGCCAGGAGTTGGAATTGATGGTCCTTGTGGGTCCTTTCCAACACAGGATATTCTGTGATTCCATGACCCATCCTGGTACAACATCAGCTCTGCCCCAGCCAACAGACAGCCTCCACTTTTTACCCCAGAACTTGCAGCCCTGCAGAAATGCTCCAGCTGGATCCACAAAGATCCCGAGGTCCCACAGGAATTACCATATAAAATAGAGTTATCCTGCTTTCCCACTCGCTCTGCCTTGTGTTTGTGCATGGGGTGTCTTTGCTCCCAGGGCACAGTGTCTGCACATTGGATGCTCCATCTGCAGGGAAGAGAGTTGGCCATGGGGGTGTTGGTGAGTCCCCCCACTGCAGTCAGGAAAGGAGATTTTCCTCCAGCTAGGAAGGAGGATCCTTCCGTCCCACTGATCTGTAGGGGCACACACCCTGCAAAGCAAGGAATGCAGCAAGGAATTTCTTCCACGGGTCACAGATCTATTTTTTAATTACCATAGAAACCTCCAAACATCCCGGCGTGTGCTGTGACGTCAGAGTCTCTACTCCTCCACATCTGCTTCCCGGGGACACTCTGGGGAATAGGAGCCGTGGGGTCTTGAGTGGTGGGTGATTATTTTGGGGTTAATTAGCAGGCAGGCTCTTGGTGTCTCCTGGAGCACGGGACAGACTCTGGCTTCGGTCTGTTACTCTTGTTCATCCACCCCTTGCTGTTGTGGGGGGATCCGTCTCTTGACGACCTTCCCAGCCTTGCAGGGGGACATATTTGATGTTTCATCCCTAAAATATCCTTCTGATCGCTGCCCTTATCACTTCAGATGTGCAAAATGCAGAACCTGGGAGGCGTTTTTTGGCAAAGCCAGCCTGGCAACCCTTAAATTAGCAGCGTTTGAGCGCGTGGAGCTCTGCCTGGAGCCCCTTGTGCCGATCGCGCTGGCGGTGGAAGGAGCCTCCCTCCTCATTCCCATACAGAGGGTGTATCCTCGTGGCTCCATGGGCCATCCCACAGCACACCCGGACAGCAGGAGGACTGTCAGCACTTAGGTGAGGGGAAAGGGGCTCTTTGATGGAGCGTTTGTTAGGATGGAGCCGTAGGATGAGACAGATGGCCGGGGTGTGTTGGCAGGGAACTCCGCTCCTGTTTGTTTAATTAGTCACCAGACAGACTGAGAGCTAAAGGCAAACTCAGAACTGTGGCGAGATGGACCATTTATGCTTGATGATCCCACTTGGTGATCCTCATCTCGTCATCCTGCTGTGGGATTGATGCTCCAGCACACAGGACCGGGTGTTCCCGGCGGATTTGGGCGGCCTTTGTCTCCCTGCTAGTATTTTTCCCCCAAAAGGGACAGATTCAGATAGGTGTGTTGCTTTTTCAGCCAAAGGGAGCACAAACACAGAGTTTTCCTTTCTCCAGCGCCCGCCAGAGCACACAGCCCCTTTTGGGAAACAAATTCCTAAAGGGGCTCCAAGAGAGCTGGAAAGGGAATTTGGACAAGGGCATGGAGGAACAGGACAAGAGGGAATGGCTTTGAACTGACAGATATTCCCCACAAACCATTTTTATTCCAAATAAAAAGCCCATAGATAAAAGCACTTCATACCTTTATTTATGCTTTAAAAAGTGTTCAATTCCGCTCAGCATTTTGGTGTGTTCTTCCAAACACTTGTGCACAGGGATTTCTCTTTCTCCATTTGCCTTCTTGGATATACCTGTATCCTTCATCCTTTCTAATGAGATGAAAATAAATGAAAAAATGAAAAAAAAAATAAATAAATGGAAATAAATGAGAAATGGGAAAGGGAAATAAAGTATGTGTGGGAAATGGATAACCCCAAACACAAATCCTGTCCCTCTCTGGGGAAATGGATAACCCCAAACACAAATCCTGTCCTTCTCTACACACGCAGTGCTTAGAGGTGTATATTTAAAATGTATATTTAAAAAACGCCGCAAAAAAAAAATTAAAATTTAAAATATAACCATTTAAAAATTTGCCATTTTTGCCCAGTGCCACATTTCACCAGAGCCCAAAGTGGAGGGTTTTTTCCCTCCCGAAAAAATCACCCCCTGCCATTACCCCGCAGCCCGCTAGAGGGTGGTTTCCTCCAGCGGGAAATCCGCAGGACGTGGAGCGGGGCGGGGTGGCGGGGAGTCGTGGGGGGAGGCCGTAGTGTGTTTTCCAGCATTCCCCGTGCCGGAGGGAGCACCCAAAATTCCGGGGGGAGTGGCGGGACCGCGAGCGGGGCGGGGGGGGGGGGGGGGGGTGGGACGGGAACGGGGGACGCGCGTCCC